CCCAATGAAGGGCCAACAGGACATGCCCGACTATAAGCCGGCTTAAACCAACCGTGAGCCAACCATATAGCAACGATGGCCCAACTACTGCTTATATGCGCATCGGCGAAAAGCCATCGATGGCCCGGCGAAAAATTTTTGACTGGGAAGGTTTTATTTTAACTTAATTAATATTTGATATTTTCATAAATCAAACCCACTGCGCCCAGTGCCCGTTACACTCCTAAATTGCTGAGAAAATGCTTATTAAAAAAGGTAAAAACAATTTTTGCGATGCATTTAAAGTCTTCATAGAGCGTCGCTTTTCTACATGGAGATAAAACCAGCTGGCACCCGGCAGCCAATGAGAGCTCGGGAGCAAAACACGTCACCCACAAGCAGCATGGCGCAATACACAAGCGAAAACTCTCTTTTTTGTATAACCTCCCTCATATCGTCATCTCCATTCCTTTCCTATTTTCCTTCATGCGTAGAGTTTGTCATCGTGTGTCAATGTATACTGTAACAAAGAAATTATATTTGCAGTTGATTCCCTGAGGAAAGTACGAATATGCCTGCGATTGGCCTAACGTTACACGTCGTCAACGAGATGTCTCGAGGACCATGGATTCACCCTTATAGGAATAATTCTGCGGTGGTATGACAAAAGGAGATAAGTTCCACTTTTGACGAAATTGAGCTGACATCATCACCGTATAAAGTGAGTCGTGATCCATATTTTGGTCAAACGGGATAAGTTCAACTCCTGTTCCTTCACGAGAAAACTGCATGAGAGGGTTGCATCGAAGTCGATCAGTCAGGGAGGTGAAGTGGAGAGGAAATAAAACATCTCCCCCCCTGAGAAATTGCGAAAATTGAATTATCGCCTTCTGTCATACCACGACAGAATTGTAAGTCGAAAATTGAGTTCTTTTGAAAGAAAAAAGGTAGGCCTAGGCGTTACCTGAAGGCAGTTTGTTGGTTAGGCCTAAGCCTAACGTTTAGTGAGTCCTGTAGAGAAGGGGGAGAGGGCGGTTGAAGAAAGGGAGAGCCATTGAAAATTGGTTTTCACGTGACTTCATACTTCGATAGACCGATTGGGACATAACACTGGCGCACGGAGCGAGTGCAAAAATGGACACGGCCATGGAAATAATGGCATAAGAACTGATTGCTTCGACGGCAGGGCAGACGTTCGCTTGGCTGCAGTGCGCTTTACTGCTCAAGATCACGTGATCATGATCCGGCCTGTGATTGGCTGCACGATTCCTATGGCTTTATCTGTGTGTAGAAAAGCGATCCCTCAACTCCGCCGCCCTCACACTGACTTGGCAATTAGGTTGTCAATTGAAGCTAGTCAATTAAGATTCGCACTGCAACTCATTTTCGCGCACCTGCCCGGGCCAACCAAATGCAGCACCTCGTTTCCGTTCCACAGAGAGGAAACAAACGGAACTTTATTCTGGAAGGGCTCATGCACGAAACAAAAGGAAAGTCAAAATCCAAAAAAAAAGGGAAAGAAAGAAACTAGGGAAAGAAACGAAGAGAAACGCGTAGACGCGAAGGATCAGGATGCAGAGTCCGTCGGATTTCCTCGACATCCGTCATATTTTTGCCTACAAAAATCATGGACAAAGTTTGTTTTCTAAGGTATTTTCCCCGACCGCCAAGTAATTCCGAATTTACTCCAAATTTAAATAATTGACTCAAAAACTACGATATTGCATAACATGTGCTAAAGTGTAGGAATATTTGGTCACTGTCGCTTATTTGACAATTGCTCAAGGCAGGGTTGCTCGTGAAAGTGAGAAAGAATTGTCGGAAATAATTATAATTAATATTTTAACGGCATGGAAGTCATTCCTCGGGTCAAGATTGAACCCCTTGTCATGCCTCCTGTCAGGCTTCCTGTCAAACTTTCGGTCAGGAGTTTCCGGTAGCTTCCGATCAGAGACCCCTCTGGTGTCAGAATCAGTCGGAATTTTTAGGAGACTGTCAGAGTTCCCGTCAGAACTTTTCTGATTGTCAGAGTTCCCGTCAGGGTTTCTCTGACTGTCAGAGTTCCCGTCAGGGTTTCTCTGACTGTCAGAGTTCCCGTCAGGGCTTCTCTGACTGTCAGAGTTCCCGTCAGGGCTTCTCTGATTGTCAGAGTTCCCGTCAGGGTTGCTCTGACTGTCAGAGACTCGGACAGAACTTTTGGGGATCGTCGGGGCTCAGAAGGGGGAAGACCGAGAAGCGCAGATGGTCCAAGACCTGACGAAGGACGAGGGTCTGATTTTGAGGGCAAAGGACACGGGCCTCTCCTTCCTGGAGCTCCGTCAAGGCGCAACTGAGTTGTCTGGAGCAGCAGGTCTCCTCTCGGAATCCCAGCTGCCAGAGGAGGATGCAATGGCGGGGCTCGGGGAAGGCGCAAGGGCCCGGGAACGAGAGGATGCCGGTGGGGACGTAATTGCATTCCAGATGCATCTTCCTCAGTAGGTCCGGGCAGGCTCGGTAGGTGGCGGGGAAGTCGGGGCAGGAGGGCGGGAGGGGAATTTTCTCGACGATGGCATCGCAGCACTTGTACTTGCGATAGAGTCTATCGCAATGCTTGCTGCGCTTGACGCCTCATTCGTCGACGTGGTCCGGCTTCCGATCCCGAGAAGCCTCGATCCTCCTCCACATCATCTGCAGTGCCGACGACATGTTCTTTCTGAACTCCGACCACGAGAGATCCGCCGCCGAACCCGTGCCGTTCCCGGCCTTGGAGCCGTGGTCGTACCGCCAGCGACGAGAATGGACGTCGGTCCCCGCCTTGCTGGAATCTTCGACTCGATCTGTTTGATTTCGATCTGTTTGGTCTCGATCTGCTTGATCTTGGTCGAGACCTCGTTGAAACAGGGAAGAATCGAGTCGCTGGACTGGGCTCTCTTCCTCGTAGAGAGAGGGAATAGTGACGTACGGCACTGTCGCCGTTTCCTTCTCATTGAGTTCTCCAACATTCTCCGTGGATGCTGGTTCGACGGTTGGGTGAAAGGGCCTCCGACTGGGCTCCAGACTGGGCTCCAGACTAGGCTCTCGATCGGCCGAGGTGCCGGGGGAAGATTGAAGTTCTGGAGGATGGGTGGGACCGCCTTGGAGGAGGTGGTGGAGGTGGTGAAGGAGGTGCTCGTGGTGGAGGCGGTTGTTGCGATCGAAGCGAGACGGTTCATAGTTGTAGCCGCGTCTGGGAAATTCGCGGTGGTAGGGTTTCCGCGTGGGCCGGAACGGATCAGTGGAGTCGGCGGCTTCGGGGTGGAAAGGGGGAGGGCGAGTGCGGTGGAAGCGATGGTTTGATGGCGGTTCGGTGGCGGTTGTGGGCCGTATTCGTACGGTCGAGGATTCCGGGTCGGTTTCACTCTGTGGCGGTGGGCCTCGGTGGTGGGCTTTCGTCTGTTCGTTGCCGTGCTCGCTACTTGGCAGGCGATCCACGTTCTCGGTCTCTCGTTCTAAGCTCTGACTATCGTCAGAACTCTGATTGAAATCCCTGTGGCCCCAATGACCCCATTGTCCCCAATGATGGTGAGTTGGCATATCTTTTTCACGACTGAAATCGAGGCTGTTATTGCGATCGAGACCACGGTGATGATAATCATCGTTGGGCTCCAGATCATCCAGGCCGTCGTAATCGCGGTCGCGACGATAATCTTCGGGATTTCGAGAACTCCGATTTTCATGCCGATGCTGATGGTCTTCAAATTCGCGATCATCGAAACGCTGCGACGCGTTTTCGCTCGCGAATTCGGTCGAATCTCGTTCGAAGCTGAGTTCCTGGGCGAATCCCTCTTCCAGCGTCGCGTTTTCGCCCGCGACGGAGTCGCGCGAATCCAGCGTCACGTTCCGCTCGCTCGGACGGAAGCGCCGCGAGCCGCGACGCGGCTGCTGGCGTTGGAGACAGGGCCGCTTGCGCGACGGGCTCCGTTGCTTCCAGCGTTTCGGCTGCAAAAACGCCAGCACGAGTTTAAGGCTTGGGAATCGAAAGGATCTTATGTTACGTGACGTTACTCACGTCGTGACGGCAGTATCCGCACGGCCGAGCGTCGTGCGTGTTCATGATGGCCGCCTCCACGTAATTCCTGGACAAGAAACTGAACGGCAGCGGGATGTAATAGGCGAGTC